TCACTATTACGACATGATCGATTGGCATGCAACCGAGATCACAGAGCCACCCCTTACAAAAGATATCACAACTGAAGCTTTAGAACAGATGATAATGGATATTCCTAATAACATTGAATTTTTGAAGTTGCCTTGCCATACTCAGGCAGTAGAAAGAATGATAAAATTAGTTACAGAAGCGTCACTTTCAGTTTGTGGAGAAAAAGCAAGAGATGGCTTTATTCGTACTAAACTTGCATCTCAAAATGATATACCAAAATTTGAAACTAAAAAACACTTCATTATTTAAGTCTTTGATGTGAACTAGTAAACACTAATGTTTTGTTTTTCAAGATTTAAATGATTTATTTGAGTTAATAACATGTTTAATTTGATGATATTGTTTTGTTTACTTTTGAAATGCAATTCATAAACAGTCTCCAGCCGAGAGGAACCTCAAAACAATGTTCAATAAAATTCAAAATTTACACATTGAAATAACTCGATAAAAGACATATTTCCCAACCCCAGGAAAAGTAAAAAGAAGAAAAAAATTTTTTTATGTATAAATTCGCTCCACCCTAATCCACAAACCTTCTCCTGAGAATAAGGTTTCACGTAGCCGGCAGGCATTAAGTTTTCAGCCTGTGTGATGATGAATGGAATGGAATGACATCAACTCGCTACATGACTCTACACCTTAATCACACTAACACATTACATTACAACTGCACTCCTCAACCACGCCAACACATTACAACTGCACTCCTTTACCACGCTGACGCATTACAACTGCACTCTATCACACTAACACATTAAAACTACACTCATTACATTAACACATTAAAATTACACTCATTACATTTCATCACATTAATCCCATTACATCATGTAACTGCATCACATTCAGATATAACAGGACATCACATTATGTATGGCATGATTGCATCTCGCTACAATTACATCAACCCATGTTACAATCCCATAATAACATTATACATTATCAAAACGTCACATCAACATGCATATCATTTATTATCAATAGACCTTACATTGTGAAAGACAAATCACATGACATCACATTCAATAACATCACTGTCGCATCATGAAAATTTCATCAACATAACACAAATCACATAAATATCAATCGCATCATATCACATACTAATATTACATTCTACATTGTTGTTGTTGTTGTTAGCAGAAGTTAACTTACCGAACAACTAACTGATAAAATGTTTAAAAAAACCATAACAGAATAACTTATCCAAAAATATCTAGCATACATATTGTACACATACTATCAGATATCTATTTGTAATATGTATGTGCAATTAGTTTCGTAACACGACAAGAAGACAGTGACATATCAAAGTAGAATGCATCGCAATTAATATAGATAATGTTGTGGATTGTAAGAAGTAAACAAAGATATGAATCTAATTAAACAAAGAAAAAACAACTACACAACACAAACATATATATAAATAAATAGCCATGAATCTATTTTATATGTGTAGTTGTGTGCGGTGCACCTGTGTCAAGGACTACAAATAGTTTCTACAGCGATATTGGATGTAGTAAAAATTTGTAACAGCTGATCAAGTGCACTGATTGAAGAACTTAATTACTGGTTGAAGAGTGTTTAATATATAAACAGTGATTGATTGATTGATTGAGTGAGTGATTGATTGATTGACTGATTGATTGATTGATATTGATTGACTGGTTGATTGATTGATTGACTGATTGATTGACTGATAGAGTAATTGATTGATTGATATTGACTGATTGATTGACTGATAGAGTGATTAGCATAAATAATGATCAATTATATATATGTACACTTATAGACAGATAGAATAGCTAATAGGTCACATGACCAAAAACACGAAATCAACCAAGCGATTTTCAACTGACAAATTGATGGTGAAACTGTGGAGTTAAGTGAACCTCGCTTTTGGCTGCTAAATATATTCACTGAATATTCAACAAATATCTAGTGCACAAGATAACATATAACATTTATCTTAATGTTATATAAGTCTGGCATATATAATTCTCTGAAGTTTTTTGAAAGTAGCACAAAATTTGTAATAGCCAATGAAGGGACACTTCCCAAACAATAAGCAGCAGTGAATAACAAAATGAATAAAAATAATAATCTGAAAAAAGTGAATAAAAAAAGTGCTGGAGACTTAACTAATTTGAATTAGTGTAACCAAGAAAAAACTGTTATAATTTTTATATCACAATCTTTTCGTGAGGAAAATTAATGATGAAGATGTCAGAGTGATAAGAATTAATAATAATTAACCACATCATCGTCATTATCTTCAATCATCTTCATCACCATCATTATACTAATCACCATTTTAACCTTTAACCTCATCACCATTTTTACCCGTAACCTCATCACCATGGCACAATCTTAGTAGTCATCCCCTCATAACCATTACCACCACCACCACCACCATCATCATCATCATCATCATCACTATTATCATTATCATAGTTTAATCTTAAAGCTTAACCATTAATTACTGTAATATACTGCAGGTTGCTCCAATTATAATTTTATTATTATTATTACTATTTGTCAAATTTTCTGGCCATAATTGAATATAAACATGATGATTAAGTGTGAAACAACCATTACAGTCAAATTCATCATTTAAAAAATGTGCTTATTATTATTTTTATTCGATATAAATTTAATAAAAATAATATACAATAATATATTATAAATATATTATGGAAAATAATATTAAATATTAAGGTGACGAAAAATGCAGACCACACAGAAGACAGTAAATGATATTCTCGCCTTTATATTAATCAAATTAATCACAATCATCAATAATAATTGAAGAAAATAAAAACCAAAAATAAAATAGTGCTAAATATTCAAACAAAACCAAAATAGTGACGAATAGTCATTCAGTTTATTAGCCTAGATGACAGGTATACCATAAGTAAGCATGTGCTGTGAGAGTTAAAAAAAGAATAAAAATAAAAAAATAAAAATAATAATAACAACAACAATAATAATTAATAATTTACCATAATTATAATAATATTAATGATGATGATGATGATGATGATGATGATAGCAGTAATAAACATTCAACAAAAATGTTAATCTTTATGAAGGTATAGTTGAAATTATTATTTATTATTAACAAACAATAAATACTATAATAATAATAATAATAACAATAATAATAATAAGTTATGCTAATGAGATGGTGTCTACTGGTTACTGACAATTTATCAAATATGTTAATGATATGGCCTACTGACTAGCCTCTATTTTATTAATTAGGTTAATGAGGTGGCCTACTGACTAGCCTCTATATTTCATCAATTATGTTAATGAGACGACCTATTAACTATCAGCTATTTTTTTTAAGTATGTTAACAAAATGGCCTTCTGATTACGATCTAATAGATTATATTAATGAAATGGCCTATCTATCATTTGTGAACCTGTGAGGATAAACTGCAGTGGGATAGTCGTTTTATTGTTGCATTTGTGTTGCTGTTGTTGTTGTGAACGACTGGGCACAACAACAATTTTGTTGATGTTGTTGATATCGTCTGAGGTCTTTTCTCCATCATCTGCTCTCATTTTTAAAAAAGAGTTCAGTACACGAAGAAAGGTCAGATATCGTCTATCATCCATCACATGCGATGAGTGAATCAACCAGTATTTGCGTAGTTGTGTGTTTGTTTGTTGATATCTATATCATTGAAAAGAGAATTGTTTTTAAAAAAAGTGTTTAAAAAAAGTTTTAACGTCCCAAAAGAAATCCACTTCATGCTGGTCAACATTTTAAAAATAAAGTTCATGACGGATCTAGCTAGGGCTGTCAAATAAAAAAAATTCAACATTTTAAAAATATTTCGGCCCATATTTTAAAAAATTTTTGGCCCACCGACGCCGTCTAGATCCGTCCCTATCTAGCAGTGCTACCTATCACTGTTATAACTACCCACAATAATTATGGGATAATAAATACAGTAAAACTATCCAAAACCACAATGAGTTCCAGCAGGCCTTGTAGTTTAATAAATAGTGAAAAATTGAAATATACATAAGCATCAGCCCTGCAACAGCATTAACGTTGCGAATGGCATCTAAACAAAACACTAACACACAGTATACAAAGTATTTTGGCATCTTAAGTTGCGGCAGGTTTGGTAAAATACCTCAAGAGATATCTATCCAACCAAACACATTGAAGAATGTAAAGGTAACCATATTTCTGAGTTAGACACCGAGAGGTGCTGTTATAAATCTCTAAAAAATGCAGCTACCACAGTGCAATAAATGCAATGAACATGGTCGTTCATGTCATAAAAATTTCGACAGTAAAATGTAACATGCAAGCAGCTACACAACCGTCAGCAAATATCCTCACTAAAAAAATTTAACATAAATATAACCATTAACTTTTTAAAGCATGAAAACTGATATGACCATAAATAAAAATATAAATAAGAACATAAACAGTAAACTAAACGAGAACACAAACAAACAGCAACAAAAAGAATTTAAATATAGAACAGATACAAAAACAAACATACACATAGATATAGAAACAAGAGCAAGAAGATAAGCACCAACTGACCAATGGAGGACGAGGCATGCCGTGAATGACCTTTTGAATCTCCCCGAGGTTTGCATAATCCTCCATTGATTGGTTGCGCATCTTTCGGAGTTTCTCGCTGCTGTTGTCCACTTTTGCCAACTGGGGCTCAGTCTGCAAGAATCATCATCAGGACCATCATCATCATAATCGTCATCATCATCATTATCTTCTTCATCATCATTATTATCATCATCTTCACCACGATCATTGCAATAGCCATCATCGTCATCATTAGTATCACCATCACTACCATCAGCACAATTTTTTTCATCCTCGTCGTCCATTATCATCACCACCATGACCATTGTTAGCATCACCATCATCATGACATCATAAGGTTCCTTCCATTGTAAACATCACAACCAACACCAACATCCTCACAACTAACACACCATAATAAATAACATAGCCACATCATCACCAACAGAGCATCAATGTGAAGATGACATCATCATATCATTGACTTTACACAATCACTGACTAAACAGCATCATCACTGAGTTAACAACATCATTAACATAAAGTTTCAAAGGTTAAAGGTTACTTTCTTCAAAGGTTTCAACAAACACACACAGCGTATAAGAATACGCGTGAAAACCACGCATCATACACATTGCATATGATAGGCGGGGATCTTTTTGTATTCAAACCCAGTCATTGCAACAACAAGATCAGGCGCCTTTAACCATTGAGCCATCACGCCACCCATTATCATTTGTGTCATGGTCATGTTAATCTACCCCTACCATTACAAAATATATCAGCCTAATCTTTCATTAACATCATCATTATCAATGTTCTACATTATGAGTAGCATGAAATTTTGAACTAATGATATTTAAATTCATGGGAGTTGTGATAATGAAATTAAAATAAACTTACTGACAAAAGCAAATATTTGAATAGCAACAATTTCAACGTTCGTTTTTAACAGATAGCTAAAAAATTTTAAAAAGTACGAACAAGCAAGCAAGAACCAAACAAACAAACATGAAGACAAACTGACATATGAACAGACAGACAAACAAACAAACATACAAATAAACAAACAAACAAACAAAAAAAGCAAACCACCAAACAAACAAAAACAAAAAACTAGTGACCAAACAAGCAATTAAGCGAAAACCTCAGTAGCCTTTTTATTCTTCATGAATGAAGATGCATTGGTGTATTCCAGGCAATTAGCATCCAACTCATCCTCAGACGCTGGTTTCACTAATGATGTCATCGTTGTTGCTGTTGTTGACAGTAATTGTGGGCGGGGTATGATTGATGACAGCTGAGGAGATGGAGAATGTGAAGAGGTACTCGGCGTTCTTTTCAAGGAATGATCATCAGATTGGATAGTGTTTGTTGCCATTGGAATGTTGTTGTTCAGGCTCGACTTTGTTAGATCTCCCTTGTTATCTTTTACAGAAATTGGCAGAGGCTTGACATCACTATCGACTTCTTCATTGTCTATCAACAACTGACCATCACTTCTAAGGCTTTCTCTGGAATCAGTTTTGTAGTCACTCGTTTCGCTGTCAACTTTTGTTTCTTCTTCGTTTTGTTGGTTGCCGATGAATGATGTTGACATGAGAACAAGATTCTTATCTGAACTTATGTCGTCAGAACTGGACTTTAAGGCTGCACCTGATGTGGTCATTTTGTCGTTCGAGGAATCAACAGGTGACGTGCTGGGTGAGCCAGACGACTGTGTTTCTGACAAGAGGCACTTGTTTGCTGCCACCTGATTCTCTGGGAAAAAGACATCATTTGCAGTTGTCGTCTGGACATCATCTAGTGTGTAAAATAATTTTAGTTTTCTTGTGAGTTCATCAGTTTACAAATTGGAATAAGTAAATACTAAAGAAACTAAAATATGGAAATGATCAAAATTATATCTTATGTTAATCAAAATTTCAAATTTAATTAAAATAGAACAATTTATTAAACCAAGACTTAACAAAAAATTAAATGCTTTACAGATAACACAACACCTTTAAAATGTTCTGGCACGCCAATCTCACTGATGATATCATTCAGCTCCTCAAGTGCTACCTTTGATAATGCAGGCTTTGTTTCTTTTTCTTCATTTGAATTCTTGCTGTGAAGTTTTGGTCTTGGTAAGGGCACAATTTTCTTTTTACTTGCATCAGTCGATGGAAGTCTCACCAGATTTTTTACTGGCTTTGGTTCTGTCAGCTCAGCCACACATAACCTTGGAACATAAACGCCAACTGGGTCACAAATATTTTTCTTCACAAAAAACCAATTATCGCTTGTCTTTTTTATCAAATAATACTCTTCCCCAGTTTTAAAATCTAACGTCTTATTATCATGTTTAGAGAAGTAGGAATAATCGAACACAACTTTGACTTTATTATTTTCGCTACAAAGTGGTGGTGACTCTGGTTTCGAGCTTACGGACATGATGATTCTTCCTTTCCTAAACAAGATATCAGGTGGATAAACTCAAAAATCCGTAAAAAAAACTTACGAACCTGTCAACTATCTTACAATCAAATTATGAATAAATATAAATTTCAAAATAATGCATAGAATTTAATTAATTTCATTTGATTTTGTTGAATCCAGGAACAAGCGATAGAGACATATTAATTACACAGACATATTAATTACACAGACTAGATCGCATATGCTTACACTGCAATACATAGATTCAAAATGTATAGAGACCTCGTACCTACACGATGTATAGACTTGTATGGGATACATGAAAAAGATACCATCTAACACCTTCGTACTCTTTTAAAACATTTCGAGGTGTAACTTCTAAAGCGCATCTGGATGAAATTCTTTAAATATTGAATAAAAATATATTATTGAAAAACAATATAAATAAGAGTAATCCACAACAGAAAATTGTTATTTGTAAGTTTTTTTTATCTTTGTATTGGTCACTGAACTCTACACACAGTTCAGTGTTATTGGCATGATAATTTCGGCACTACACCACCAGGGATTTGTGCTATTAGATACCAACTCCCGCACATTCCACACCAGCACCATGGTGGGTTGTTTCACCTGAAAAGCTGACGAAGGCGTCGTTAAATGACATGTGTAGTGTACTTATAAATTATTCTCTAATGCAAAGTGTGCAATTAGTTAATTTGGTGAAAACTAACATTATAAAAAAAATATTATTAATAATAAAAATATCTATAACATGGAAATTACTTAATATTATAGATTTTATTATAGATTATTTATTTTATGTTGACATCTGTCGATCTATTTCTTTTTTCATTTGATCAATAAATAGAGCAAACAGTTTAAGTTGATATTTGTATGGGACGTGGTGGATCAGTAGCAAAAAAATAAAATCAGCATCGTTTCGAGTTTTTCGAGATCAAGAATGAAATTGACCACACATAAGATTAAGATTTTGCCAAATAAAATCGAAAACGCAATCACAATTTTTAATAAACTTTATTTGTTTACTAAACTAAAACACACAAAATACAATCAATTTTTATCCTCTCTTTCTCTCTCTCTCTCTCTCTCTCTCTCTCTCACACACACACACACACACACACACACGTCCACTCCACATATCAATGCACTAACATAAATGTCTGGGCACATAGGAACAAACAACAAATGACGAAACACGATCTGATGATATTTTCTATTACAACAAACAATGGACTACTTACTGGCAATGAATGCACTGCACATGGTGAAGGCCAGTGCGTTATTGCCGTGTTATTTCATCTTTTTAATAGATGTCTAATATTCCATACCGCCCCCTGAAATTTGATATTTTGTTCTCGTGTGACATCACATTGAAGTTTCACCATTGCACCTATTTTGTTTCAAAAATTAAAACTTCAGAACTATAAATTGTTAAGATGTACACAGATACTTTCATATCAACAACATCCATTATATTCCTTATTTTTGTTTTTTAATTGTTAATATTTATTTATTTTGGTTTTTTGTTTTACAACATCATGCATTCGGTTCAACAAACAATTCGTTCAAAATATTGTTTTTTTTACATATTTTAATAAAAGATCCACGCTTTCCAGGTAGTCGAAGAAGGAATAAATAAATCAAACTTCATTGGCAGACGTAATGATGCATTGGTCTAAGTATTTGAGTGCATGCGTGCCTGTATGTGTGCGTGCACTTTAAAGGGTTCAAAAGCTTTTTACTCTACCCGAAATGAGTCTAGTCGACAAGTTAGCCCAGTTGGTAAAAGTGTTACCTGTGCTTATAAATAGCAAGTGTTACATGACTTGGTTCAAATACAATCTGTCTGAAACCTAAAAATTATCATACGCCATACGTGTATGATACGCCTTGGATGTATGGACTGCTGGCTTATACAAAAAATATGTACGTTGTGTAGCGTGCATGTTGAAGTATCTGCGCCATCACGAAAGCTTAATTATAGTTAGAGATTGTTAGTTCTACATGTGTCAGGCTGCACAATGGAAAACAAAAAATAAATAAATAATGAACGATATTAAGAATTAGGTTATCCCTCCGCTAAATCCCGTAATATGGAAAGTTTTGAGATGGTGTGGGTTAGGAGTGTACGTATTTTTTACATTCTACTTTATATAGAATTTTTTATATCATTATTTCAGATAGTCAAAGTTTGAATGCATAATAATTCTATTTTGTGGTAGCAACAAACATTAAATAAACACGCTGACAACACGCGCAGGATGACAAACACTTCATCGTATTTTTTTTATGACGCGACACATCCGGCGGTACTTCACTGGGGCACCTCATCTTGACATGTCATCCTGTCACGGACATCCACGTCGTTACACACACGCACACACACACACACACACACACACACACACACACACACACACACACACGCACGCACGCACACACACATACACATACATACATACACACACACGCACACACAAACAAATAAACACGCCACATATACACGCACGCACACACAACACTTACATCCATGCACTGTGTGTGTGTGTGTGCGTGTGTGTGTGTGTATGTCGTTTCGTTGAAAGTTCTGAATATTGCAAAAGGTAGAACGAACTTTTTATAAATGTCATGAATGTCTCTCAATATCCATGCAACATATGATAAAATATATTTTAATTTAAGAAAAATAAAACTTCAAACGAATTCATTTGTGCATGAAACATTTCATCGTTTCTAACATTTTATTTCTTCGCCCTACAAATTCATGAACCAGTTTTGTCTCGAGGCGATCAAAGAAATATCAGGCAATTTATTTGATTGAATGATTTCAATATTGATAATGGCGAATAACCTGTTCACCTGACTTTAATTTTTTGTTTTTTTTTAAACTTTTAAAATTCTCATCCGAAATAAGTTTTTCCATGTAAATATATATGGCTTATTCGGACAAATAAAATTTTCATAAACTCATCCGTATATTTTAATTTATGTATATTTTTAACATTTTCAATTTTCAAACTGAGCCACAATTCCCACAACAACTTTCAAGTTAATTCTATCAAAAACCTGGTTGGTCACGAATAAACTTTTAAATTCGAGATGCATTGAATGCAATGCAATTTTTGTTCATAAAAGTATTTGAGTAGAAAATGATTTGATATCCGATTTCATATGCAGGGAAGATAAACAAATAGTTCAATGTACAAACAACGCCTTCCCCACCAGCGATGCTAGATGTTCGTACATGCGGTCTTTCAGTAGAATTTAATGGTTTGTCAAGTTGTTTGTTTTTCCATTTGCTCAATGTTGTGAAATTTTGAATGTGTTTGAATAGTAAAAATTATTCGACCGTTATTCTGAAAAGCTCACTTGAAATTTAAGTTATGTTGGTTGGTTTGTGGGTCGAATTGGTGATGTAATCGGGAGGGTGCCAGAGTCGGATACAATATTTTCCGATTCTGACTCCGGTTAAAAATGTTCGACTTCGATCCCAACTTCGGGTTCAAACTCTCAGAAACTTTTTAAAACTTTTACATCACGATTTCACTTAAATATCCCTAGTAAATAAAAAATACTTTACAAGACAAGACACTTATTCACAGTCGGTGTAATTGTTTTTCTTAGTAAAATTGCTTTAAATTCATTTTTAAAAAGTTCGCTCTTATTTTATGTTACGTTGTTAAGCTGTGTTAAAAGAAGCTTACAAAATTGTATTCACTTATTAGCTTATTAATCTTATATTAAACACATATACATCTTTTAAAAACATGATCTTAACAAATATTCTTTTAAACAAAATACAAATGAAAAATATCCGACTCCGGCCATGACTTTTTTCTTCTTCATAATACAGTTCTGTCAAACGCAGAACTGTATTATGAAATTATTTGTTATTCTATGCTTTCAATTAAACTTTTGTACTACAAAGGCTGTACACTTTCGACACCACACGACGCACATACGCATTAGGTGTATGAACGCGCAAGCACTACATCACACGCCTACGATGGTCTTTGAATTTCGGACAGACAGTATTCGAACCAAGCCATCGCGTAATAACTGCACGAGACATGGCACTCCTGCCGGCTGAGCTAATTCGTTGACCGACTCCGATCGACCCCAACACTTCGGTAAAAGAGCCCAACGTCCAAATGTGATTCACAAAATATTAGATAGAAATCAAAATTAAATCAAAAATTTTTACAATAAAAAAACGTAAAAATAACATTAAAGGATAGTGGGATGTAACGAATGGGGCAATATTTATTTACGTCATCGTCACCGAGCGGTTGATCCTAAGATTAACTAAATGGAATACATGAAGAAAATGAAAAATCGGTCTAATTCATCTATCGGGTGAATTTGTATTTCCTCCATCCAAGCGATTGCCTCGAATCGAGACGAGACAAACGTTTCCATGCCATTCACCTTTTTTAGATAATTGTTCAAGAGAACAACGCCACACAGCACAAAACAAATATTTGACAGCTGCCAGAAAACATCGGGTGGGTTTTCCGTATATAAAGTAAAGTATACGCTGTACTAGCGCATGTAGAAATTAAAAGAATTATTTATGTGACAGATGAGTGCTGTAAATAGGAGGAGACGAACATTTATTTGCTAATTCGTCCAGTACGTCATCGGGCTGGCCTCGTTCTCTTCGGCTCTCAAGTTTCTATTTATGTATCTATCACAACACAATGCAATATTTGCTTGAGATTTTTAGACGAGTTTGTTTCTAATTTCAAGAACAAATTCATCAAGGAACTTTGATTTTAAAATGTTCTTATTTATTTCAACTGTTTATAGACAATATTGCTGAAAAGACTGATTAAGTTTAAACCAGTCATGTGAGATTATTTCACATAAAAAATAAACAGTAGCATGTAATAACTTGCAATATTATCATGGATATATTCATGCTCTACGAGTTAGCTCAGTCGGTAGAAGTGCCATGTCTCGCGCAGTTACGCTATGGCCTGGTTCGAATACCG